TTTCATCCAATTAACATTTCTGTGTGTAATGACATGATTTTAATGATATTTTGCATTGTTTCATGGTTTTCATGGAAATTACTTATTCATTGGTGGCCAAAATGTCACAATTAGCCAAAATGATTGAAATTCACCATTGGGGATCAATGATGAGCTAGCAGTAGGCCAGCTTGACTAACAGCACTGTAGAAAAATCTTCTATGCAGATCTTTTTTGTTTTTCTGATCTGATTGAAATAGCTGACTGATGGTCATTTAGCTTCAACAAATGCCTCGTCATCGTCATATCTCAACTGATTGTTAATCAAACACTACTTTGACAATATCAATCATATCACACATGTTTTTTGGGTTTTGATTTAAAATGGTGGACTCATTTCAGTTTTCTTCACAATTACATAACAGACTCTCGTGTTATGCCGCAGTTTGGCTTCATCTGAAATAAATCTTGTGAGGGCAACGTGTTATCTTGTTTAAAATCTGCAGCACATAATCTAAATCTTATTCCAATTTCCCTTCAAATTAAGGTTGCGATGAGAGCGCTTGGGTTTGAGCCGAAGAAAGAGGAGATTAAGAAGATGATCCAAGATATTGATAAAGAAGGTTCCGGCACGATAGACTTTAATGACTTTGTGACGTTAATGACTGCAAAGATGGTGAGTATTCACTTAACATACAGTTGTGGTGCGTCTGTTGATCATACAGTTCATATTTAGGTTTCAAAGTATTTCTCCCTAATTATTTTTTCACAAAGCTGGCTGAATGACTTCACTAAGTTTCACATCTTATTAATTTTGTCATCAACCAACCCATTGATCTTTGACCCAATTTTTACAAAATTATTCCTGTTCAGTTTTCAAAGAAAGTTCAATAAAGTTGAGTTAATGAAAAATTATGTCAGTTTGGTCCAAAATATACAACATTATAGTAAAATACAAACAAAATTTGCACATGCATTACTGCCTTCTTAGTGATCCTGCCATTTGTAGGATGCTTGTCAGTGCCTCCAACTACTACCTCTCATACCATGCTTCTATAGATAGCATTTTGATATTTGTTTGTGTTACAGGGTGAAAAAGATTCTAAAGAAGAGATCCTCAAAGCCTTTAGGCTATTTGATGATGATGCAACTGGTAAAATATCATTTAAAAATCTCAAACGAGTGGCCAAGGAATTAGGAGAAAATCTTACTGATGAAGAGCTACAGGTGAGGCTTCAGCTTTTACTTCCCATTCATTTCTTAATTTAAGGTAGAGATGCAGGTTTGTGGGAACTTGGGAGTGAAATTATTTTTTTTGCTTTTTATTATCCAGTCTTGGCTAATTTTGTAGAATTGTGAATAGTGGAACATACTCAAAAAACGATTTTAAAATATAGATAACAGGTGCAAACATTCTCTTTCGAATGCTTAGCAAGATTTAGCAAGGCTGTACATAAATAATAAAAAGAAACATGGTGAAAAAAAGAAATGACAGGATCTCCATATTATGCACTATATTTAACTTTTAACAAAACGATAATACATTTAAATTTGGAACTGTTACAGCCATTTTAATTATGAGCATTAGTAAACTTCCGAGTGAATTGTTATGCAAATTAGCAATTATCTTAGCTCCTTTTAGTGCACATTCCTGAACTTTAAAAAAAAAAATAGCTCCTAGACGCTTTGACCTTTTGTTTTGAAATTTTCACAAATGATTGACAATATGTTTATCTTCAAAACGCGGTCAGGGCATTGTTTTTGGTTGAACAGTGTTGCAACAATCGTACAGACAACTAGCCTGGGTGTTAATTTATGTATAAACTTGAAGTAGTGAAATTTGAGCTGCTGCCCTGCAAAATTGACAACTGCTAAACTGCATCTCTACCTTAATGTTAAAGATGGCCTCAAGATCTAAATTTATTAAATAAAACACATTCTTGATATAAAATAAAATCCAGTATTATTGATGTCTGCAACTGCATCTCTACCTTAATGTCATATAACCTATATTTTATTCAGAAATATATTTTTGCTTTTGAATTCATGGCTGCCTTCTCTTGGGCATCACCCTAGCAACCATGTGTTCCATGTCTAAGTAATCAGTGTGAGAAAATGAGCTCTATGTAGTATGATGAATTGAAGGTAATTTCATCAAAGTTCAGATAGTTGCTTGACATTTCATTGATTTCCATGGTAACTGGGAACTAAACTGACAGCTGTCCTGCATACATAGTATAGTGTTCATCTCAATTTGGCATCTAACAAGGTGTGTATATGTTGTGTACCATTTATGTGTTTGTATTGCTGGAATAGTATCAATGCTCCTCCCAGGTAGATGCCCAAACATGGTGGCTATTTTGCATAATAATCTATTTTGTAACATCATCATAATATTGCTGTATGAAAAGCATGGAGAGAACATGGCCAGTAGTTTTCACTGCTGTTTTAAATTATTTTGATATTTAGAGCATATTCACTGGGTTTTAATTTTACACTCAAACAATGCTAAAATTATAACCCAGCAAATGAATAACATATTTACTATAAACCAATTTCCAGTACTAAATTTCATTTTAAGAGGACATGGTTGTTATCAAATCGGAATATTGTTTGTGTGTGTGTTTGTGCAGGGGTGAGTGGGTAGCATTCCTTCTTGCATTGCAGTTTCATAATGGAGAATGGGGTAGCTCTGGAGTAGGGCTTATATGAAAGCAACTACAGTACATGTACATCTTTTCTGTTCACTGCATTTCATCAGTCTTTATGCATCGTGAAGCATGATTTAAATAACATCTATAGCCTTCCAGCAAGTTCTCTGCATCTTTTGTGAGGTACATGTTAACTCTTCTGTGTACCCGTAATCTTCTGGTGTTAATACACATATACAGACATCTTGAACAGTACTCCTACGGGCACCAAAGTCTCATTATTAAAACGTATTTTTAACATTTCTACAGCGTGAAATTCTACAAGGAATTCTGTGTGTATGAATTGCGTCAGTAGACACTGTTGTATATGAATGACACTGGTTGAAAGTTCTTGTTTTATTCGTGATGTCACAAAATGTCACACGTTAGTGTGGAGTCTTGTGGACATCAGAATAATATCCAAATAACCAAAAGCTTGTTGAAAAAAATAATTGCTAAATTCTTGATAAAAAAAATTCTTGTTTTCAGAAAAATGTGATTTCCATAGATCTAAATATATTTCCCCCCTTATTTAATGTTATTAAATCTTTTTGTATACCTAAAAATAATTTATTTTACCTGGAATTAATTTTCGTTGAAAAGGCTGTTCGCTCGATTTTGTTTTCACTGATATTTGATGAATGTAAAATACAGGAAAATATGTGTTTTTATTTTTTCAACTAATTCATTCCTTCAGCGAAAACTGTGGAAATAAAGTTAATTTACAGAACATTAAAATTGTGATACAATGTAATTCTATATCTGGTAATGTGGCATATTGCAAATTTGATGAGAATTTAATTTTATGCTATTCAGCCATGTCATTGATAATTTGAAATACATGCATATTTGATTAATGTTATTCATATGGTAGAGGTCTAGAATATATATTGTAATTAGTTTAAACTGCATTCATCTTGTGTAATAAATATCAATAATATTAATAATATAATATTAGCTAAATGTTCATCAATGTTGCATTTTATTATTATTCTGTAGTCTAATACACTGTATTACATAATGGATTTTCAGAAAACTCAAGGAGTACATTGCTTTCTTTCTGAAAGTCTGCTTTAAACCCAAGCAATGTTATGTTGTGGTGCCCGTGTGCTGTGTGACCATTGTGTGCGACAGTCTGACCGTTGTGTGTGACAGTCGGACTGTTGTGTGTGTGTGTGTGTGTGTGTTTGACGATGTGACCGTTGTGTGTGTGTGTGACGACGTGAACGTTGTGAGTTTGATGATGTGACCGTTGTTTGTGTGACAGTAGTGTTGTGAGCATTGTGTGTGTAACTGTGCGACTGTTGTGTGTGTGTGGCGGTGTGACTTGTGTGTGTGGATGTCTGTGTGGTGGTGTGTGCCCATATTGCCACATGTAGTGCAAGATAATATTAGATCTATTTACAAAAACATAATTTGCTAAGTAATTAGAATTTGGGGTTTGAAAATTATTGCAAAAACTGAAAACAACGTAGTCTGAATGACATATGTGATATGCGAGAACTGATAAGCTTCACAAGTCATAATATTGGTTACAAATTGCTTTGAATTATGTGGTTATACAAAAAATTGAAATTAAATTATTCATGATATTGTATATTTGGAGAATATTTGACAGCTGCTTCCCCATAGTCTATTTCTCGCATCAATTATTCAGTATCTGAGCGACATGTATGTAATGTCATATACCTGTCTCCCAGTACCCGGTACAATAATTTATTACCTATTATCCAGAGATTTTGATACAGTTGTTTTTATTTTCACACAAGATGCAGATTTATCATGGCTCAAAATGTTTTTGCCTTCTATTGCATGCATAAGAGTTGAATATTCACTTACATGGTATAAATATTCTGAATTTCTCTAATTTGCCGAAGTATTTTTTTGTTTTCCCCTAAGGCTTACTAACGCATGTTAAAGAGGAATGAATTGGGGGGGGGGGGGTAGCAACTTGCTAAGCATTTACTTGCTCACCACAATTTAAAAGCTTGAGCTTCATTTTTCAGTATTTCTTTTTTCATATTTTTTCATGTATGCTAAACCAAAATACTCCTTGTAGTACAAAATGTGTTGCTTGATGACTTGAATATGCTAATGCATATAAAACTGATTGGCTTCAAGTTTTCTTATTTTTAATGTTTGATGCTCTGTATCCCAAAATATTCAACATAGAATAAGATATAATATTAAACATTTTTAACTCCGCTGTTGATTTTGCTGCGCGGAGCTTACCGTATGAGTGATTGCCCGTCGGTGTCAGTGTCAATGTTTTACTTTTTCGACTTTTCTTGAAAACTACAAGCCTGAATGCTTTGATACTTGGTGTATAATATACCTTGGGTAGACCTCTTTTAGATGTTCATTTCATGATGATATCTTTAATTCTCTAATTTTAGTGAATATTTTTGTCATTTTTGGTAAAAAGTGATATTTTCAACTTCTTGTTAAAAGCCGCAAGTCTGATTGCTTCAGTACTATACTTATAATTACCTCGCGTAGACCTCTCCCAGATTTGTTCATTTCGTGATGATATCTTCAATTGTCTAATTTTAATGAATATTTTTGTCATTTTTGAGTTCTTGTTGAACAGAGCAACATATTGTTCATTTTCTAATCATATCTTCAGTTCTTTAATTGAAATGTGCATTGCTAACAGCGGAGTTATCTCAGCTGACAGGCTGCTAATCGTATTAATTTACTGATTGGCAGTCACCCTCTGTGTCCACAGAATTGTTCATCTTTTGAATGTTTTAAAATGTGCATTGCTCCTAACAGAGCTATCTCGGCCAATAGGCTGCTTGTTTGTTCGTTTTTTTCAGTCTCAGTTCAGCTGAATTTTTTGTAGTGTTGTATTTTTAACACAAAATATCTACTATATTTTATACATGTACATGCCTAATGGAACAATAAGTATCATATTTGTAACGGAGACTACACATGCAGAAACAATGTAACCCAGATAGTAACAATAGGGAACAGTTATCTGCTCAACACCTAAATACACTACTGACAGTTAACACATTATTTATTGTAATCCTAGAATTCCTGTTAAAATTCTTCCTGTTTCTACTAATCCAAATCTGTGATCAATATCCGTTGGCAATACCATACCGTGATCATTAAGAATGAAAATCAAGAGGATATTTTGTTACCCTGTGGCTGTCTTTACAACAGTGGTAAGCGATTTTAGAGACGGGCTCATATTTTATCTAAATGTTTTGTATTTTCTTGTAGGAAATGATTGATGAAGCAGACAGAGATGGAGATGGTGAAATCAATGAAGCAGAGTTCTTAAGAATTATGAAGAAAACTAGCCTTTATTAGAAACATCACGTTATTAAAATGATGACCTTTTTCATCCCTATTTGCCCAACAGTGGAATGATCCTTATATTTCAAACTTAAGGTTATGCCAAATTGCTGCCTAAATATAGGGATTTTCATAAAATGCCTGTTCAGATATAAATATGGAGTTTAATGTGTTGAACTCTTTTTATTCCCCCCATTCATATTTTTGGTTTTTTGTACATTATACTTTTCACTATTGATTTTTTTTGTCTATATGTGATGTACACGGGTGTCATATATGTTGTACACGGGTGTCATATATGTTGTACACGGGTGTCATATATGTTGATAGACACTGTCGTACAGCTGAACAAAATATTTTGTTTTTGCATCCTATTTCCAGTGTACCCGGTACATCACTTTACGGCATCTGAAAATTCAAATCACCATTTTGCCCAATTATACATTACTAACACACTTGTCTATATACCTAATACTTTTAAATTCAATTTTAAAATAGTGTTATGCAGCCATGGTTTTTAAATGTTAACATCTCTGGTATTTTATAGAACAGAATTTGGCAAGAAAAAAAAAGATTATCGATGAACCCATATTGATTCCTTTGCTGCTGACTATTCCTAACTATCATTCGGTTAATATCCAGTAGGTCAATGATTTTTAGTCGTCACGCAGCACATGTTCGAATACTGTAAATGTTGTTTACATGTGTAATCGTCGTATGGGCTCTTATACATGTCATAAAGGTTCTTGCGTTTCGTAGGTTCTTGTATTCTTCACACAAGACCCATAGCAAACATTATTCAGTGTGACAATTGTGATACTTTAAATTTATTTTGAATCTTGTACGTGTGAATTTTATCTGGTCACACCATGACTGTATAATCGGTGTTCAGTCGGGTTTGTGTCTGTCAACTTTGTAAATAATGAAATCTTGAGATCATCAATCGTATGTGCCTATGTGATGCTTCCATTGTTCTGATATTTATTAACGTCCATTTCAGATTGTACTTAATCCATTTCTTTGGCACTCATCATTACCATTTCTTGTTTGTGATTGAAATTTTTTTTGATTCTCAAGTTCTGATTGTGAAGTTTGTAATCTGTATTAAAGTATATCTTTTATGTAAATACAAGTATGTGTGCAGATGTAATTCATTTCATACTGCAGTATGCAGTGTTTATACACAAAATATGCATAGTTAGCTCTAGATTGATCCAGCAACAGCAGTATCTATCTAGAACTGGACTGATCAGAAGATTGGGTCTAGATGGATACCGCAAACTAGGTTAAGCTTGCTGAACAATTGGTCTAAGCACAATTGTTGACCTGCAGTTCTATAGATGCAACTCGTGTGTGAAGACTAAATATGCATAGATTAGCAAATCCTTGTAATGCTATAATGTGCAGTCTATTTTTGTTAGGTTATTATGCTAAGTTTATAACTATCATTGGAACATTTGCACAAGTATATAAATGTTACTTGAACTGATAAATTTGAAATATGGTAGATATTTGGTAATTGTCATGTAACTATTCAAAATAGATGTTTTGAGCAATGGCTCTTTATCAATAACCAAGATGAATTTTTTAAAACTCACATTTGCCACTAAAATTGAATCGCTAAAAGTTCTTCAGTCGAACCTGTATACGTGCACAATGTAAGTAAGCACAGGGAATGAAGTGCAGTTTGATTCCCTGTGCTTTAGTTCAATGTTGAATACAATTTCTAGGCCACTCCTGATATGATTCTTGTTGCAATGCACACATCTTAAATGCTATTCCCAGTAGAATTTCTATGTGGAACTGGATAAAAACTATTTTGTCTCGTACATGCAATAAACAACGTTTCCTTATAATAAAACTAAATTGATTATCGACATCTCCCTAGTTACCAAATATACAATTAGAATCTGCAAAAAAAGTATTACATCTGGGTTGATTACACTGGGTGAACCACATTTCTGAGTGTCCCTTTTCCCTAGTATGAACTAATAGCTTCCTCAAATTAGTCTCTGCCTGTGCTGAGTGTGGAACTACCGATACCTTTTAACATTACTCAAAACCTTTAGCTGTT